ATTCTGGTTAAACGAATCATGGTTTGGATTAACCTAATTGTCTACTCTCACACAACACACTGAACCACATTTTATCCTATTGTGCTGGGTGAAACTAGCATCTGCAAACCCCTATAAATTTCAAGCATATTGAATTCAAGACTTTTATGTATGTAAGGAACCTGTACTAGGATATACAAGAATTCTAAATAATTTGGGACATTAATTTAACTGACAGTTAAAAAAAAAAAAGAAATATACTTTTGGAATATAAACAAGAAGTAACATTAAAAATTAAAAAAAAAACCTTGAATTTAAAATAAACTGCCTTATAATGTCTTGATTCTCTAAGCTAATTCAGAACACACAATGCAAAGCAATGATGCAGAGATTAGCAGTTAGGGTTGTGCAAAATGCCCCGGATTAGAAATATTTTAAACTTGAAACTCCCTGCTTTGTGTTTGAAACAGTTGTTCTGAATTTGACATGGGCTGTCTGGACCTTATGAGAAATATTTCAAATTTGAGCCAGGTATTTTGAGCTTGAAATGGGACTTGGAAAATTTGTAACAAAGTTGGAAGAGTCCGTTTGAATTCAAAACAACTGTTTCCACCTTGAAAGAAGGCGTTTTGGGGCCAGTTCTACTCAAAATGGAAATATTTTGCCCAACTCTATCAATAATATCCAGATATGGATTATGTGATACAATACTAGATTATTTGGCTTCAGTTAGAGCAAGTAAAAGGTTAGAAACTTCTTTATGAGAATAGGCAGAAAGAATGTGAAGAGAGGAAATTACAGAAGAGAGGGACAGAGAAGAAAGAGGAAAGGAAAGGCGATAACTAGTATATAGAAGAGAAAAGAAAGGAGAAAACCGATAGCTTTCCTGACAATTGTTCTATAATGAAGCCTATGGGAAGATTCTCTTGATGTATCCTTTTAAAGAGATCGTACATCCTGTTATCTGTTATAAATATTATCGCCAAAATCAAGTTTTAATTGTTCATAATCAAGTGCTCCTCTAAATGGGACACAGTATCTAGTAACCATCTGTGACCTTCACATGGGCTGGCCTAAGATATCATTACTAGGAAAAGAACTGATAAGAAATAACCCCAATATGTATATTTTTATTATTATGGAGTGTGGCAGTAACCCCCCACCCCAGAATAAATTATGCTACTTGTGACCAAATAAACTCAGTTTTGCCACAAATTATTATAAAAATGTGAGGAAGAGTATTTTAAAAATCTAGGAGCTTTTGTATTTAAAGCCTTATTAAAATGATGCACGGCAGGAAAAACTGACTAACCAAGTCAGTTTTTTAAGTATTGGAAAGCTTTTATAGCTTGTGACGCTGAATTCTATTATCTGATCAGATATTTTTGTCTGACAGATTGATATCCACATCATGCTTTTTTAAAAAAAAATATTAAAACAATATGCTTTTGAATGCCAAGAGACCCTTAGTAACTCGTACGCAGATAGAATGAACTGTATCTGGGAAAATAATTTAAATAAACACAGTTGTACCTTAACATATGCAAGTACTACAGAAATGGTTATATCTCTACCTTGAATCTGTTTATCTTATGCTGAACAAATGAAAGGACCTGAACACGTTTAAAGATGAAAAACAAAATTATAACATTATGGCACTCTCAAAACTGACTGTACCAAACTACATGCATTGCAATTTTTTTTTTTAATAAAATACAGAGGTTTTCATTTTCAGAAAACTGCTCTTATTATTGAATAAGCATGGATCTGATGCAACATCTGTCTTGAGATATACGTTTCAGCAGGAAGAAAGGCAGCATTTGACTTTGTCTTCAATATTGGAAAACGAAATGAATACTGGTATGGTACACACATACTTTATTCCAGAATCTTAGCCCCCAATTCCTACTACTTCTATAATAAAATGAATATGACAATGTGGGCTTTCTAGATATTTAAGGTATTCCCTATAAGTACCTTGTCTGATGGAATATTAGTATCTAAAGAAGAAATATCCATGGTGGCCAAAAATGGCGCAATGTAGAATAGAGTCTATCTATCTGAATTTGTTAATAAAGTGTACTGAATCTCTAATACAGAAGTTGTGACGCTAAAGGATACTTTAAAGCTCCTCCCACAGAGGTCCTACTAAGATTCTAGAATAAAGTATATGTGCATCATATGTATTTCTTTTTCATGTTCCTGGCTTGGTGCATATCCTTTTCTTTGTCTTCAACACAGAAAAATACAGACTCCACCAAGAATAAATATGTACATGGAAGAACAAACTATTTCATAATCCTTAAGTTACTAGAGAAAGCTAGAAATAATACTAACAGATGACCTCTCAGTGTGTTTTTAGCAGGGTATCATTCTGACCCACACTTTCTATACAGATAAAATGGTTAACAATTGCAACCATATCCTTTATTTTAGATTACTCTGTTCCAGATTATGCATTGATACTATTTCCTCTGCTTAGCTGTATCCTTGAAGTGCTCCACGTGAAGGATTTTACAGCATCTATGCAGGACCTCTGTTTCCTCATAGAACTATTAAAGCCCCCCAAATTTCATTCTGCTATGATCACCAAAGGAAATGCAAACTTGAAGACTCATCAAGAAATTGTATGGATTTAAGCCGTTCACAGGGTCACAAAAACAGCCACCAACAGATCAAAACCGGAGTAAAAAGCCCCTTTGTCTGAAGTTGTAATGATCGCTGCCCAGCTGAAGGGTTGAAAGACTCTACGTAACCTTCCAGGCACGCGCAACTTTCCAACTTCAATAGCCAGTTCTCCTTTGTAACCCAGTCAAACGGTGACTTTAACCTATGTGATATCAAGCACAGATTGATTCTGAACCTAGAAGCAGTATAAATTCAAAGTTTTCTTGCAGTGGAAAAATCTGGACCTACCATATCTCATTTTCAGCAGATATATTTACAATACGTGGACAGCAATTAAAGCCTGGTCAGATAAAAACAGCTTCAACTTCCATGTTACTGAAGCAAACAATCTCTTCATAAATGTACAAATCAATTTTCCCTGTTCAAGATATTGTCCTTATTACAAGGTCACATTTCATACCAGTACTGCACTGGAATTCCTATTGAAAGCGAAAGTTACCATCCATTTCCATTTCTGAATGGTACAGTTCTCTGTTCATACGCTCTGCTGAAGAATATGTCAACTCTTCATTTTAACGTGGCCTTTACCAGTGCAATTGCTTTGGATATCAGTATAAATATTCAACAGATTTCATCACTGGTTCAAAAAAAAAAACTGAAAAGGAGAAGCAAGCCCTTTTAATCTTCTAAATAAAATGTTCTAAACTAGGCCTTTTTTTTTTTCTTTTGAAATACTTCTGATGCTAAATTTCAAGAAACTTTTGAATGCCCAATGTTGTTGTGTTCTGTATTCCTGGGTGACAATGCTTCTCCCTGGCGATCAGTAGCCACGTTACCCATAAATGGTGTGCAATCTGCATTCAGAGCCTGAGAAGAAACCTCAGACATCACCCTTTTTTTGCAGTTGGTCCAGTTTCTTTTTTAAAAGACTATAGTTTTCCCTGGTCCCAGCTGCCGTGGGGTCAAGCTTCAGAGAGACTTCATAGTGTTTCTTGGCTAAGTCAAAATTTCCCCAGCGATGGTACAGCACAGCTGAAACAGCAAAGAGGATTTTTTGTTAGCAGTGTTGTTGAAGAACAGACAATCTTGCCAATTACTTAGAAAACATTAAAACATTTGGTTGGCTGTCGGCACAGTGGCAGCCTGCTCTGTAGCCAGCTGGAGCAGACATGTTTGGAGCTGCGCAGGCCAAGGAATGACAAGAGTGGATTGTGCTAGAGCCATAAATGGCTATTTTTATCAGGAGAGCTCATGGTGGTTTGCAAGCACAGGACAAAGAAACCAATTTGCCACCACTGACACGCAGCCACCTCTGGGCTGCAGCAGGCGGCCTGGCTGGTCTGTCATACAATGTGATCGGCTTGACATTATTGGAAACCCACTCTAAGAACTCCAGTGTCTTGTTGGCAATTTGTTTAGCAAGCAGGCGGAAGAGAAATCTAGCTAGCAGAAGAATGCCTGCAAGACACTGAATGTGAAAAGAAATACAACCAAAGTGTCTGATTTTTTGAAAAAGTTTGCAGTAGGGGAGCTATAAAATGTCTTACCCAAATTACCATGGTAACTGGCGGCCGTTGGATTGGCTTTAATTGCCTTGTGGAACAAAGCTTCAGATTCCTGAATAATTCAGAAAAAGAGATCAACAGGACAAGCTATTTTTGTAGTGCCTACAATGTCAAGTACAACCAAACACTCCCAATTACCTCATGCTCTGTGGTCTATTAATGTGATTATGTCACCCTATTTTTTTCACATGCATTCACACTTTTACTTCTTTCTAATGGATATACGTACAATATAATTCACAGGCCGATCCAGCTGTTGGCTGGTAGTTGCTGTCAATTAGACAGTAATTACTTCAGTGTTGGTAAGAACACAAAAACACTTGTGGGCTGCATTAGAAACCAAATGCTCACACAAATCACTTCTTAAGACCAACAAATGTGCATTAAAATGAATTTAGTCTCAATAAAATTGGTGGGATGGTGGAACAAAACTAAGGTTACCAGATCTGGGGTGCAAAAATCCAGACCACCTCTAGATGGCAGAAAACAGATACCAAATCCTTCCTTTCTGCTGCTCTGTAGTGGTCATCTGGATTTTTGCAGCACAGATCTAGTAACTTCTAATGAAACTACAGCATTTTTATTTGAGGTGCATTTGTATACCTCATTGGTAAAATGTAGCAAAATATTTTTAAAGGAAAATCAATCTCTCTCTCTCTTTCTCTCTCTCTCACACACACACAGAGCCAACAATTCTAGCCTAAAAAGAATTTCTAGCTTGACAAAAGAATTTTCATTATTTCCCCTAACAAACTTATTGCTTCATATCTGTTCATAACTCTTAATTTTCCATTTTCCTTTGTTGCTTCAAATAACCTGCTTTAGCCTGAACAATTGGAAGCAGTAGGCATTTTCATGATTCATTTTTCAAATTGATTTCTATAAAGCTTGCAGATCCTTCATGGATGACATCTTTAAAGCTTTAAAGACTATATTCAAGTCAATCTCCCCTGTCCTTTGTTAAAGGAAAGTGATTATTTAATAGGTAAGATCAAGAGAACCTTGATCCCATGCAACTGATGTTGTTTTAAAGTTTTTTTAATCATAATTTTAGATGGACTTTTGTAATAACAGGATACAAGTTGGACTACCATCAAGCTCAAAAATTGTCTGAAGAACAAAATAGCTTTTTTCTATATTTATGGTTTGAGTGTCTTGCATATAATAATTAATAGTAATACTTGAGACATATTTCTATTTGGATTTTGAATTGTTCTAGAAGATATTCGTGCTTGCATATCTATTTCTAGCCAGTAATCCTAGAAGAATCTAGTACTTCAGTTTAGTCAGATCAAAAAAATGAAATTGACCTGGTAACAGCTGCTTAGGAAGTACCATCCCACAACCAGCCAAGGCCATTTGGACAGTACCGACAATTTCTCTTAAGATTTCTTTGGCACTGTGATTTTGAAAAAACAACTCCGGATGCAAATATATATTTTGCTGTGTTGGCTTCCAAATTCAAATCCACTGCCAATCTTTTAGTCAAGTCACATTTCTGAGGACATACCTAATCTCTGAATCATTGAGAAATAAGATGTTCTAGGAGTTATCTCATCTACAAATTGTGGTTGGAAAAATGCTGTACCTTATATTTCTGTGATTTTCCTAGTACATTTGCCAGCGAAAACATAAGAGAATGATCATTCGGTATTAACTCCAAAGCTTCCCTTCCAACAGCTTCTGCTTGTGCCAAGTTCCCTAGGAACACATTAAAAGGAGACAGCGAGAGAGAGAGAGATGAAATGATAGGGAACAACCATTTTTAATCAAAATAAAATGCTTAGCTATTTTCCTTAAATAAAGCAATTAAAAGCACATCAAATAATAAAAACCGAATTACAAGTGAAGAGCAGTGCATTAAAATCTGCACAGTATTTTTTCTAGATCTAAAATATGAAAGAATTATTCAACTACTGTGCATTTAAAAAATGTTAATGATTAGAATGTGAATATAAGCAAATTAAGAAATGCTCCTATCAAACACAGAAATAAACTGAAGGCACCAACGTGAAAGAAAACATTTTGTGAGCTTCCTGGAAGCTCCATCAGAGAGAAAGAATAGGGGGTGAGCACCAGCAGGATGAAATATTTGCTAGCTAGTTAGTAAATTGACAGGTACTCAGCTTATCCTTTCTTCTTTTTTATTTAGTTTTTGGAAGTTAATCAAATTAGGACTCTTAATCAATTAATTTGATATTGAAATATCCAATTTATCATGAGATAAAATTGACACGATACATTGTGAGAGTCTTTTCAAAAGATGGTTGCCTGAAACCTTTATATCTGTTATGATTCCAGAAGCCTAGAATGGTATGATCAATTTGTTTAATTCTGACATTTTCCTCCCAAATACTGAATCTTTACTTGCAAAATTATTTTGGAACACAAAGAACCAAAACACTGATAAAATTGAAAACTGATCTCTAAGGAGACACTTTTGGCACATCCGGCATTTTCTCTCTAAAACAACAGGCTACACTGAAAATGGCAAAGGCGGATTTCTGTACACTTTGCGGGAGATGCTGTTTTAGAGCGACTCCAAAATCTTGGGTTTGTATCACTCTAGTCTCTGATTTAGAACTAGAGCCTCAGTTCATGTAGCAGAAAGCAATGGGCTCGAGATATAAACAAAGATGCAGAAAAAAATATTACTATTATTCTGAAAAAAAGTATATTGTACCTGTATTGTCGAGCAATATAATCATGTTGTTCCAAGCCAAACTATGTTGTGGTTTCAACACCGTGGCATTCCTCCATGCATTCAATGCATCTATGTGGCGATTTAGATCAGCGTACTGAAAGTAACATGGTTGGCAGTAAGATAACAAGACAAGAAAAGTAGCCCTTGTTCAGGCCCTGCCGAAGGAGAGTCTGTGAGTATCAAATAAAATCTGCAACTTGAATAGCTATATAGAGATAACTCCAGGAAAGTGTTTTATAAAGGTCAGGTGTCAGAAAAACCAGTTTCCACTAAGAACTGCACATAATTATGTACAGGGTAAAGAAGTTTTGTGTATTTTCTGAATATTCCCCCTTGTCATCTACAAACCTGCTTAGACAGTTCTCCGTCTGTATGCCCTGGGGCCGGGTATGGCTTTGGATTTGACCGTGAAGAGGGCTTCAGAGCACACAGGATCTCACACAGCCCGTCTGCAACTCTTTCAAGAAGCTGCATCTTTTCCCGGCTGGTGCTCACAAGGTCAGTGTTCCTCTGCTCCAAAGAACCCCCTTGTGCTTAAATTAAAGGGTGCTACGCACCCCTAATATGTATATTACATTCTGTGCTTCTCTTTCTTTAGAAGGAAGATTAGTGTTTGTGCATTGATTTAAGAAACTGATTGAAGAAACTTGCATCAACTGGAAAAGCCAATCTAGGTGTCTTACATATTAGGGTTCAAAGCAAAGAAACAAACAAAACTACAAAGGCAAGCCACACCAGAATGATAGTAAGAATCGGGCAAAACGTGCCTATTATTTACATTTATCCAGTCACTGTCTGGAACATCAAGGTTGGTTTAATAATAGGACACAGATGATCAATCTGTACTTCATAGTTCACAACTTTCAGTATACTTGTTGTGGTCCCAGATGCCCCCAGGACACATCTGGAGAGGGGGGAACCCATATTTTCAGGTTTGGGGAGAATGAGTTTTGTGTAGTAACAGATATCAAAAGGAGTGCTTTAGATCTTGTGGAAGCGTAAGATACCAATTTGTGGCATTCACAAGATATCACCAATCCCTAGATGGGGCTAATTTTTTGCATGAGGGGGAAGGGTTAAGAGATAAAATTTGGTGAGGGTTAATGGGGAGGGGGGAGTTAATCCCCACCCCAAAGAGTGCCAAGGTTTTGCTTAGCTACCTCCCAGCAAGAACAGCAGTTGAAGAAAATTAGCACTGGTGTCTATGTATCTGCTAATTCACTACTAGTTTTATTAGAGATCATTTATCCCTACTATTATCCAATTAATACTCTCCTCTATCCTTTTTCTCCATTTTCTTCCCTAGATTTTTAAATCATTCAATTGCTACAGTAATCTTATGGGATGCAGCGTGATGCTGTTTCTCACCATTTTAATATACAGTTTTGTATATTGTGCGTTCTTCTATATACAGTACAAGAAACATTTACAGTTCTTCAACAAGTCTTTACTTGAGCATTTTTAGGACACCAGAAGATACAAAGTGTGTTCAGTTTACACACCTTCTTATGCAATTCTATATAGTTTATTTAGAAATTTTTGTAATTCACTTCCATTAAAAGTAAGACTGCAACTTAAAGGTGCAACAGGGCCTGAAAAACACAGTCTCCCTAAACAAGTCCAAAGTCCAAGAGGGTACTCTCTAATAAGCAACTGATCATCATTCAAAACTCACTGCATCTTAAGTATCTAGGATTATTAGCAGAAAGATAAATAAGTACACTTACTAAGCGTCCTAAATTATAGTAACAATCTGGGTATTTTTTCCTGTGTCTAATTGCAGTCCAGTAGCTTTCCTCTGCTTCTTCATACCTTCTTAAGCTATTCTGCACTATCCCTAAATTCATCCATGCTGCTGCAAAATCAGGCCTAGGCAAAGAGAGTTGTGAACATTTTAGCATATTAAGTACAAGACAGCTTTGATGCCCCTTATTTATAAAATTGAAAATGCAACCTGAATTTTAAAACTGTAAAACAATTTAAGTTTTTTAAAAGAAAACAATAATGTAATAACACAGCACATTAAGGACAAGCGGAAAAAAAAGAATAATTTAAATACAAAGAATAGAGTCAATGCACTCAAAAGCCAAGCTGAACAGAGTTTGCCTAAAACTAAACAGAAGGGAAGCATGTTCTACAATCCCGGAAACACACAGAAAAGCCCATGTTCTGTGTTCGGATTAACCTAACTTCTCTTTTTGGTGGGATCTAAAGAAGGGCATCTGAATATGAAAGGGATGCTTCTTCAGGTACCTTAGACCTAAATCCTTTGGCAAACCAGTAGCCAATGACACTGGTGCAAGATTGGTGCAATATGGCCCCCAAAGTACATGACAAGAAATGATCTAGCTACATTTTGTAGTAGCTGCAGTTTTTGAACACTTTCAAGGCCAAATTTACCCTAAGGATAGGCAAAATACTTCATTCCAAACAAGGAATATTCTGGGAAATTCTGGAATGTTCTCCTTTTATCTAGACCACACTTTTTTGGGCCCAGATCATATATGTACAGCACAAACCATTTGTGAAAATCTGCCAGATCATTGCCTGAAAAAGCCAGATTAGTGTACTGTAATCTGGAGGAGGAACATTCTAGAATTTCTTCGAATGAAACACTTCACACATACCTATACCAGAGAGTATATTTCGGAAGGTTAACTAAGTATGAAAAAGATCCAGATAATACAACAATATTGTCGGTGACCCACAGCTAGACTTTGGTGTTTAAAACATACTGTATTTGAACAGCTAGTGAGAGAAGCTCTTCAGCTTCATGAAGTTCATTCTTTTCTTTCAAGATATTTCCCAAGTTGTTCATAGCATGTACGTATTTAGGATTCAATCTGGGATTGAAAAGACAAAAAAAAAATATTACTCACTGGAAGGAGCCAGTTCTCCTAATTTTATTTATCTACACAGCCAGCAATTCTTCTCTTCCGCCTGTCATTTTTATATCAATCAAAGCAGACGTAGGCATTTATAAACACCCTCAAGCATGTGTTAAACTGCCCTCACCAGCCCACTCAGGACTGGACTACTAAAAAAAAATCCCTCCCAAAATCAAAACAAACAAGATA